TTTTTCAGAGCTTTTCCCGATCTACCCGGAATCTGTCAGACGATAGACGTTGTATAGCTTGTGTCATCTCCCCCTTCTTTGTTTTTTAAATGAAGCTGAAATGCCTTTAATTCGATGTGGGTCTTTCTGAGGGCTGTGAAGACGGCACGGATGAGGACTGGAAATATAAACAGGAGAGAGAAAATAAGGGAGGTCATAACACAAGCTAGCAGTGGAAAGTCCGATTTTCAGAGCTTTTCCCCATCTACCCGGAATCTGTCAGACAATAGACGTTGCATAGCTTGTGTCAGCCTCTCTTCCTGTTTCTTAGCAACTTCCTTCCCCCGTTAGGTGCCGCTGGTTTTGGCAGGTCACCCCGGGGAGTGTCCCTGTCTCGTGGTGGTGTCCGACTACAGGCTTTACGTGTTACAAGTCACAGCAGAGATCTGGTGAGAGAGGGGCGTGGCCGGGGAAGGGGTTGGGTCTCGTGATGGGTCTCTCCCTACTCATTTACTCGTCACTGCCCGTCCCTCCACAGCGGACCCCCGGAGACCTGGCTACAGCCCTCCCTGGCTGTTCCCCTGCAGGAACTGAGTGGCATCGAGCTGGGCCTGGCGGGACAGAGCCTGCGGCTGGAGTGGGCGGCTGGGGCGGGCAGCTGTGTGCTGCTGCCCCGAGATGCCAAGCGCTGTCGGGCCTTCCTCAAGGAGCTCACTGGTGAGCGAGCGGAAGGGCCAGGCAGAGACGAGGGTGGGAGGCGAGGAGCGAGTGGAAACAGACAGCTAGCGTGGCGCCTTCCTTTGGAGGTTTCTGAACACTGGAGCTGTGGGGGGTGGGAAGACGCTGGGAGGTGGGGGGTTTGGATAGACGAGATGGGGTCTCTGAGGGCCTCCGTCCCTGGCTCTGTCCAGATGTCTTGCAGTCGTTGCCCCCAGCCCGGAGGAGCAGCGTCAGTGCCACAGAGGAGGCGGTGACCCCGAAGCACCGGCTGTGGTGAGCTGAGAGGATGAGGCCAGGCGTGGTGCTGGGGAGCCCACACACCGGGCCCATTGATGCCTGAGCCCCTGGGCTGCCCCTGTGGGACTTCCTGCCCCCAGCTCACCGTCCCTCTCTGGGGCTGCCGCCTTCCCTGCAGGCCATTGCTGGAAAGAGACTCTTCTTCGGAGCCTCCGCCGTTCTTCTACCTTCGGGTGTTCCTGGTTGAAGGTGAGGTCCCTGGTCCCAGGCCACGGTCAGCCTCTCGGCATCTCTGTGCCTCCACCGCTCTTAGTTCCCAGGATCGGGACTTCCAGCACCTGCGTGCCAGCGGCACAGCCCTGCCTCTGCGGAGGGTCAGGCGGGCCGGGGCCCCAGTTACTGAGACGCACTGCATCGCGTCCAGGCTTTCTGTGGCATTCTGCTCCTCATTCTCTTGGGGGCGAGAATGGAGCCTTCTTTCTGGGAGGGGGCAGGGTCACTTTGGTTAGTGGTTTTGGGGCCTAGAGATGCCTGGCGCTCGGAAAGGGCAGGCTGTGACCCCCAGGGCCCCGGCTGCTCCCTCACTTGGCCGTTCTCTTTTCCGAACAGAACGGGGCGCTGGTCCAGGGGTCGGGGCTCCTCATGGCCTTCCGCTCTCTCCCCAGGCCCTGCTCTCTGCCCTGTGTCCCTGTTGCTGACCCTGTCCACCCTGCACCTACTGGAGGAGGACCCCGCGGTGCCTGAAGCAGAGCCCCCTCCCCCCTCAGCCTGCGGCGAAGCCTCGGAGGCCTCAGGCCTGGGCCCTGCCGTGCGAGTCCGGGAGCAGCAGCCCCTCAGCAGCCTGAGCTCCGTGCTGCTCTACCGCTCTGCCCCTGAGGACCTGCGGCTCATCTTCTACGACGAGGTGAGCACGGTGTCGGTGCTGGGTCTAGGCAGGCTCGGAACTGGGGGTAGTGAGAGGGACAGAGACTGGGGTCCAGTGAACTGGGCGGTTCCCTCGGCTGGACAAGCCATAGGTAGAGAGGGAGGCAGCTGTGGGCGGGAATGACGCCCCAACCTGAAGCCCAGCCCTGTGGGTGGGGACGCTGAGTGAGGCACCAGAGGCTTCCGGTGTGTGGGACTGGCCCGTGTGCCGGCCACTTCGTCTTGACCTCCATGGAGCCGGTCCTGTTACACGGCAGGGCCCGAGGCTTGGGGCTGTTCGCTGGCTCGCACAGGTCGCAGGTGGTAGTGCCAGGAGCTGAACCCCAAGCAGTCCTTGGGGTCAACTCTAGAACGTGTTCTGGGGAACGGGGGGGGGGGGGGTTAAAGCAACAAGATGCCGAATGGGGAAGCCCACTGGGAGCTTCAGTAAGTGCTGACCAGGCTCCGTCTGAAAAGCACCAAGTCAGGATCTCTCATGGGGAGTGACACAGGCTTGGGAGAGGAGGCGGCCATGAGCCTCGCAGGGGCGCCCCCCCTCCTCCGGAGACACCCCTCCTTGCTCTGTGTGACCCGCTGAGTATGCGTTCCCTCGTGGCTGCCAGGTATCCCGGCTGGAGAGTGTCTGGGCACTTCGAGTTGTGTGTCCCGAGCAGCTGACGGCCCTGCTGGCCTGGATCCGGGAGCCCTGGGAGGAGCTGTTTTCCATTGGACTCCGGACCTTGACCCAAGAGACTCTAGACCTCGACCGGTGAGGCCTCGCCACTGGCCCCGGCCTGGGCCCGTGAGGCCCCCCGTGACCTGTGGGCCCTGGGCAGGACCGAGAAGTGGGAGATCCGGCATGGGGACAGCCGAGTGGTCAGTAGGACTGTCTCCTGCACTTTCCTCAGGTATTAATAAAGTGGCTGCATTGCAGGTGTCCTGGTGTGATGTAGTGTGTCACTCACGAGGCCTGTCCGTCCTCCCCTTGACACAGAACCAAAGCTCTTCCTCAAGGGGCAGCCTTGCTTATGTGGTGAGACCAGCCTCCAGCCCAGCCTGTCCCAGACTGCGGGGTCAAGCAGGCTCCTGACCCAGGGCCTCTGGCCTCAGCCAGCAGTACCTGGCATGCAGCCTGGCAGGGAAGTTGCCTGCTTTGGGCCAGTTAGAGTCCCATGCTCTCCAGTTGCCATTGGGGACTAATGAGGTGCTCAGCCCCTGGGGAATGAACAGAATGGAAGAGGGTGTCTGGGGAGAGGGTGGTGGCAGTTGCCGCTCCTGGCTTCTCTTCTCAGTCTCAGTCTTGGTTGGACCACGCCCACTCCTTGACCTCTCTGCAGCAGTTGGGTCAAGATGCTCAGCCGGCTGCTTTGACTTGACCCACCAAGGCCCAATTTGGCTGTTTTTGGTGCACTGTAGTGTCGGAGACTCTGTCCCCGATCACGGATTATTGGGGGGCAGAACAGGCAGAGTCTCAAGGTGGGAGTGTTGTCGGTGAGCGGAGATTCCTAGAAAAGGGAAGAAAGGGGAGCGGATACGAGGAAGACACGGGAATGGGAGTTGGGTGCAAGTCTCCCTGCTCTGGATTCAGCAGAGGTTTACTTTATACACTTCAAGCAAGCAGTGTGGATGACATTAGCATATGAAATGGGCTGAGGTCACAATCACCTTTTTTCTAAGAATAGTCTGGGGTCGTTTTGACCTTTAGTTGAGATTATAACATTTTTAAAATCAATCTATCAAGGTTAAAACAGGTACATAGATGCACAAAGTTTAAGACTAATATATTTATCACAGTGAAGATGAACCAAAATGAAGTCCCTTAAACCTTATCTACTACTTACATCCTCATTGAGACATCCTAGGGGGTGAAGTAAAGTGAGGGCAGGAAGAGGAAATTTCTTGTAAATCAAATTACAGTAAAGTTCTTTGAAAAACTTGTTAGAAAGTTTAAGTGAATGTCCTTGAAGTCTAGACGGTAGAATACTAAAGTAGCTCTGACTAGGAGACTTGGGTGAATTTCTTTATCTAAAGACTAGATAGTAGAATTTTGAAGAACTAGTTAGAAAGCTTATGTGAATTCCTTTGAAGTCTAGACAGTAGAAAACCTGATTAGCTCTGAATAGGCGACTTGGGTGAATTTCCATATCTAAAGGCTAGATAGTAGAAAGTCTGAGTGATTCTTTAGAAACTGAATAGGAGGCTGTGTGAGATAGTAGAGGATGAGATCCCAGAAAGAGGCAAGTTTTCCCCCATGAGGGTTGCTGAGAGGATTCCTCGGAGCTGCCTGGCATGAGGGAAAGCTTTCTTGAGAGCAGAAGCTGGAGGGAGGAGGGCAGCTGAGCGGTGGGGCTCGAGTCCTGGGTCCAGTGTGGCTGACAGTAGATTTATGTAGGTTTATGTGAGCTAAAGCACAGCCCTCTTTTTTTTTATTTTTTTTGACTTAAGCTAATTTTTTTTTTGACATAAGCTAATTGGAACTAAGTAATGAAAGTGTCCTAACTACACAAGACCTCATCAGGCCTGAGCCATCCTGAGCAGAGGGCTGATTCCTGCACCCAAGTGCAAACAATGGGGCAGGGGTTGTGGCGGCCCCATGTGTTTCTGTAGAGAGACCCTGAAGCGGTCACCTCAGGCTGCCCTTGCGCCTCAAAGCTGTGCTGGTCAAGTTGTGCTTGGGTAATGTTGGGTGCTAAGGAGCGACTTACCTGCAGAGTATTTACATGCTAGGTGCTGAACCAAGGGCTTGCTGCTGTCTGCTTCTCCTAGGGGTCCAAGAGTTGGGTGGCATCTTTTTTTTTTTTAAAGATTTATTTATTTATGCATACAAGAACTGGAGTACAGGCCAGAGGTGTGGGGCGTGAGTGGACTCACCAGAGACAGAGTGGGGAGCAGAACAGGCAAATCTACTGAAATACAATGCTGAGGAGAGCTGGTGAGACAGGAGAGGTCTGCTGCGCCATATGGGTCAGCTCCCTGGCTGGGGGTCGAACTTGTGCTGCAGTGGCTACAGATAGCTTCATAGTGCTGCACTTTAACCCATTGCACACCAAGGAGGGCCCTGGGTGGCATCTTGTCACAGGTGAGGGAATTGAGACTTAGAGAGTGAAATGACTTGTTCAAGACCACGTCAGCAAGTGGAAGAGACCTGGCGGGCCCAGGCTTGTTTGACCTCAGCGCCCGGGCTGTCAGCCTCCCACTGGGCCACACAGCCTCCCACTTCTTGCAGTGGGTGGGCCTCTGCTGTGAGGAAGCATTGCCCATGGTGACCTGAACGGGGGCTCCCCCAGATACCCTAGATTTGTCCCAGGACATGTGGGCCCAGCTCCACTGCATTTAGAACCTCTCTTTTCCCCAGGGCATGGTGAGATGTTAGACCGAGTGCTAATTCAGGGTGATTTCACCTTTCCCAGCTGAACTGAAAAGCCGATGTGGGTTGTTAGGCTTTGAGTGAACGGGTTAAGCAGTAAGGGCTTTGAAGGGTCCATACACAGATGAAGACCTCTGGAGTGGGAAGAGGGGAGGGATTTTAGAGAAGAGCAGTTTTCTGGATTGTGCCTTGTTCCATGTTTGGAATTAGGGGGGACTGTCGGAGGCTCCCTGTGCCAGCAGGACAGATGGAGGCGGCCATTTGGAAGGATCTGGCTGCATGGACTGGGGACAGCTGCCCACAATACTCTTGACTGGAAGCGGGGTGACTCAGGAGACCCTGTGTGCCCCAGGGGGCACAGAAGTCAGTGAGAACATGCTGGCAAGGGTGTTGGGGTCACACAAGAGAAGGGGAGGCCTTGCCTCAGGAGAAGGGGGGCTGTGACCAAGTTAGACTTTACATTGAGTTGAAATCGGCTTGGGCTGAGTATACTTTAATGTTTCCAGTTTAACTTTCCTGGTGGTTAGAAACAGGGTTTCATTACAGGGATTGAGTTACAGAGAAAATTACATTTTGCATTCCTGAGTTTGGGGGACTGCCAGGATTCTGGAATTTCCAACCATGACTATTGGAAAGGTCAACATGGAAGAGGCTGGAAGGTTTGGACCTAGTGAGCAGGAGGCTTCTGACAGGCCTTTTCCCTACTTGAGGCCCTTTGATCTAGGGGAGGGGTGCATTCTGATAATGTGGGCAGGCCTCCCTGGAAAGCGTCGTTTTGGTGAAGTCCAGGGTGGACCCTGAGGACCAGGCTGGAGGCTGGAGAGGACTTAGCCCGCCCCCTTCAGGACCCATCTCTACCCCTGACTCAGCCAGCCCTCTGCATACTCTGGGCCAGGAATGATGGGTCCATGCTGGAGGACCCAAAACCCCAGGCCTCTCACCAGTGACCTGAAGTAGAGCAGAGAGACCTCGGATTCTGGGGGGGCTGGGGGGGGACCAAAGAACAAGACCTCGGGGACCCAGGCAACCCAGGCGGGGAAGGCTGCCAGGCTGGTTAGGGCAGCCCTATGAGCACCTGCTGAAACATGGTATCAGGCAAACCAGTCTCAGGCAAAGGGATAAGGAATAGGCACCCTGAGGTGATTTGACAGCCTTTAGTGCTGAAGCAGGGACCAGGCACAGGTAGCCAGCGGACTGGCAGGGGGGCCTGCAGCAACCAAGCCTCCCAGCCCCTCCGGCCTCCATGCTCTCCCTGGCTCCCCTCTTCTAGCTCTCGTAATGATCTCCCAGCCCTAGCGTCTGTACTCAACAGATCTGCTCGCCTTGTTTCTCTGGCCTCTCAGCCCCAGTGTCCACAGTTATAGGAGCACAGGCCCCGTGCTCAGGCTCCCAGGCACTTTTTGGAGCAATATGATTCACATGTGGGCAAGGAAACCTTGGAGGAAAATGAGGTGGCCCTAGAGTCTAGCTGCTCCGTTTACCTGGTACATGGTCCTCACCTATTGTTACGTACACTGAGTGCACTTGGCAGAGTGAATGGACACAGGTCCTCGCTCACACAGCCCACTAGAACATGTCAGGGCAAGAGGGGTCCCTGCTCACCCCCCATGAAAGCAGTTGCCACTTCTGGGCCAGGACTGGGGGAAGAGGGGGTGGTGCCAGTGTTTGAAGCTCCCTTAAAGATGGATAAGGGACATCTGATGTGGAGAAAAAGGAACTCTCCTGCACTGCTAGTACAACCACTATGGAAAACTGTCTGGAGGTTCCTCAAACTGCTAAACATGGAGCTTCCCTATGACCCAGCAATCCCACTCCTAGGTATCCACCCAAAAGACACAAAAACACTGATTGAAAAAGATACCTGCACCCCCATGTTTATTGCTGCTTTATTTACAATTGGAAAAACATGGAAGCAGCCCAAATGCCCAAAAGTAGATGACTGGGTTAAAAAGATGTGGTACATATATACAATGGAATATTACTCAACAACCAAAAAGAGAAACACATGTCTTTTGCAGCAACGTGGATGGAGCTGGAAAAGATCATGCTTAGTGAGATAAGCCAGAAAGAAAGAAAAATACCGGATGGTTTCACTCTTAGCAGGAGTATAGTGGACCAGGCGAGAAAATAACAAGAATAATGAACAGCCATATACCAGAGACATTTTGTGGGGGTGGAGTGGGGAATGGGATCAAAAACGGGGGGGTGGGGAGGGAAATGCAAGGGATTATGGTGAGGGCACACGGGTGACTTGGTGATGGGAAACCTGCGGGGATTACAATTGAGATGGGAAAAAAAATGTACAAAATGATGTAAAAATAAACTGTTATAAAAAATACTATCTGTATCTTATGAATATGAGAATATCACATTTTATTTCTAAGATCTCCATCATAATTTAATAAACTCTGACTCTGCAGAATAATGTTTAAAAAAAAAGATGGATAAGGGACATCTGAGTGGGTATCTGCCCACTGTGGCATGGGGAGCACTTACCCGGTCCCTGCAGGGGCGAACACAGCTGCTTTCCCAGGTGCCTCCCATTTCTTGGATCAGGAGAC